TTGTCCCCGGCCCCGGTTGCGGTTGTGCGGGAGGTGGCCACTTGATGTGTCTCTCTCACATTGATGTTTCTCTCTCTTTTCCTCTTTCTCCCTCCCACTCTATCAGAACAAAAATGGAAGAATGTCCTCGGGTGAGGATAAAAAAAAAAGGTTGTGGGTTTGATTCTGGTCAGGGTACATACCTAGGTTGCGGGTTCAATCCCTGGTGGGGGCACGTATGAGAGGAGGAGGGTAACAGGTAGATGTTTCTCTCTCATATCTATGTTTCTCTCTCCCCCTTCCTCTCTCTAAGAATCAAAAGTTTGTTTTGTTCAGCTAAAGTTTGAGTCAGGATCAGGTTAAATAGGCATGGTACCCACCTTTGTTTCTTTTACCTGTTTCTGTGAATCTCTGTCATATTTTATTGGTTGGGACTTCATTTTTTAGAAAGAGGTTAAGTTTCACCACCAGCCATTTACTGTATAAACTTGTGATTTTTCATCAAGTGTTGGGACAACCAGAATGAATCAGTTCTTGTGATTAGTTGTTTTACATCAGAGTAGAAAGGACTTAGCCCCATCCAGGGAGTTTTAATGTCAGCAAGGTGAGAAAATTTTTTTTTCACCAAAACTTTAGGTCTTCTTAAGCAGGAGCAATAGATAATTATGAAATACTCTATAATTTTATAGGCCTGGGTTATTTGGTAGATTAATATTAAGAGCACTTTTAATCTTTATTTTTCTTCACCTCCTCCATTTATCTTCAGATAGAATTCGGGGGGGGGGGTGGCATGTAGCCCTGGCCGGTTTGGCTCAGCAGTTAGAGCGTCGGCCCATGTACCAGAGAGAGAGAGATGTGAGAGAGACACACCGATTGGTTGCCTCCCACTCAACCCTAACTAGGGCCAGGGACCAAACTGCAACCGAGACACATGCCCCTGACCTGAATTGAACCCATGACTCTGGTCCATGGGCCAACGCTCTAACCACTGAGCCAAACTGACCAGGGCTAATCTTTATTTTTCTCATTGGCTGACTAGATGTTAGTTTATATAATCCTCATGCTACTCAGCCATTACAGACCTAGTATGAGGAAGACTGCAATACAAAATGAAATAATATTTTAGAATGTGTATGATCTAGCCCAATCTGATTGTCTCTCTTTTATGTTTATTGTTGCAAATCACTAGTGAAGCAAGCTTCTAGGCGTTTGCTATGTTATGCTGCTGGTTCTCAAGGCTGTGTCTCCAAACATTATTTTCTTTCTGATTATTTTCCTCTTTATGTTAGCTGACAGTCAGATCCTTGATTCTGTGACTGAGAACATCTCACTCCAAAGTAAGCATCTCACAGAAAAAGCCTATGATACAGAAAGGAGACCAGAGTAGTTTTTCTTTTCCAAACTGGACTATGGCATTCACTCAGATTACATTCAGTTCATCAAAACTAAGCACTAGTTGTGTGTGCAACTAGTCCTGAAAGAATTGATAATATAGTTAAGAAGGCTTAAGAATGTTAACCACGTCACTCTCCTCAAAACAAGCAGGCAGAGACAAGCTCCTCCATCAGACAGGAGCCCAGTAGGAATGGTGCAACCCCACCCCTCAGCCTCTGTAAAATTAAGCAGATAAAATGCATAAATACTGGTGAGGTTTAAAATCAATTACCAGAAGGAATATAAGAAATTTTGTTAAGTATTCTCCTGTTTACATTATACTTAACAAAAATCATTTAACTGCCTTATTTTGAACTTCTCCTAAAGAACCTTCTAATGAACTTGGACCCCAGGATCAACATGTATGGTTACTCATTAAATCCTTATCTCTTATAAGCTCTCTTGACTTAGACTTGACAAAGCTGGAACTCAGTCACTCAGACCTAATACATTTCCTGGGTATTTTACATTGGGCAGCTAAGCTCTGCCTTACTTTATCATGCTATGTCCCTCCAGTTTTGGCAGAAGGTTTCACTTTAAATTGAGCTTTATATCAAAGCATAAATAAAAAGATATTTACTTTGTTCACTAATTTAAAAACATTTTTTTTCTTTATTGATTTTTAGAGAGAAAGAGGAAGGGAGAGGGAGAGAGAGATAGAAACATCAATGAGAGAGAACTGGCAATGTGTCATCACTATGAGTTGGCCATTGGCGGCTTCCTAAAGGAAAATTAAAGTTAGAAACAGATTCAGAGCAATTATTGATTAAGCATTTTGCATGTGTTTTTGTATATAGAAGGAACATGAAAAAGACTCCAGTGATAAGCAGGTCAAACATTCACATTGATAATAATAGCTAATGTCACTGAGTTCTTATTATGTGCCAGACACTCTTGTAAAGCATCCACATGTGTTAATTGCTTAATTCTCACATGAACCGTGTGGGTGAGTCCTGTTCTTAGCCTCGACCTCACAATGAGGAAACCAAGATGCAGAGCGCTAGGGTATCTTCCGGCAGGTCATGCAATGAGGAGGCTGCTCTTACCCCTCTCCAGGGCCTGGTGCAGAAGCATTGTACTGTCACCACCACATTTGGGGGGAGTACATTCCTATTCCCATCATTAACTTCCTGACTCCCATATTCCCTAACTCCTTCTCACCCACCGTGGCTGGCAATTCCACAGCTCCCTGGCTTTTCCTAAGCTTTGTGTCTGCTCTTTCCACCCTCCTCATTGCCCCCAGCATGGAAACTCTTGGAGCTGGTCTACATGGCACCTGCATGGCCCAGGTCATCTGTGGCCATTCCCCCACACTCAGGCTCTGTTCCAGTTACACTAAATTTACTTCCATCCCTCGACTCTGCCTGCCAAAAGCTTCTTTTCTGGAGGGCCTGTTCATAGACTGTTGTAGTAGCACCCACGGCTTGATGACGGCTGCCTCAGACCTTGGCCCTGCTGGCTTTCATTGGGCTGACCTCTCTTAGTCTTTCAGTTCTTAGCTTGGAGGGCACTTCATCCAGAAGGTCTTCCCTAACCTCATAGTCTTTGCAAGGTGCTGCCCTCCTGTGCTTTCCAGAGCACCATCACTTTCTCATCTTGCCTGCTATCTAGATCCCTCTTTAGGTGAGAGCCCCACACAGGTAGGGGTCATGACTGATGTGTTCTAGCTTATTGGTTTTTTGTTTTGTTTTGTTTTTTATCCTCACCCGAGAACATTTTTGCATTTATCTTCAGATAGAGCTGGAGGGAGGGAGAGAGAGAAACATCAACATGAGAGAGACACATCAAGTGGTTGCCACCCACATGACCCAACTGGGGCCGGGGACACACTGCAGCAATCGAGGTATGGGAACCAAACCTGGGACTCTCTGGTCCACAGGACAACACTCTAACCGCTGAGCCAAACCGGCCAGAGCTGTTCTAGCTTGTTTGCTCAGCACTCCTCACAGTGCATGGTAAACAGGAGGTGCTTAATGAGCAATGAATGAGTAGCAACTTGATAGTCACAACTCATAGTAGTAACAACAAACCCCAGGGATGTACACCCCAAGGCAGCATCAGAGCTTACGACTGCAGAGCTGGGTACTATTGCTGTACCCTCCCTGGTGGTGAGCACACTCCTGCTTTGAAGTGCTGGCTTCAGCAACATCAATGTCTTGGTGGGACTCAGGCTGCTGGCCTTCCGTTCGGCTGGCTCAGCCTTTTCTCTTCTTAAGCTGTTACACCTCCAGGAAAGACCTCCTTCACTGGCTCTTGCAGGTCCAGAGCTGCAAAGGAAGGTAATAGGCAGTTACCTGACCAAGGACCCTTTCTGGGTTTGAGGGCTGAGAGCAGGGCCTCTCTGGCTTCCCTCTTGATGACAATCCTTACCCACAGGGAGCAGCAGCTTTGACCAGGGGAGCCCTGAGCCAGCTGCATCTCACAGGGAATACTCTTCTGGAGTCAGGACCAACTATAGACATAATGGAAAACCTTTCCCTTCAGTGGCAGCTTCTCACCCCTTGCAATAAAAAGAGACCTCCTCCTGGTCTCCCAGGTGGCCCTTTGCAGTGGTAGCATGTGCTCCCTTGGGAGTTAGGGGAAAGACCATTAGAGCAGCTCCGGGGACCAGCCCTTTCATACCCTCCTGTGGTGAACTAGGAATAAGCCCTGCCAACCTAGAGACTCTAAGACAGGCCAGAAATAGGACTTTTCTCTGACTAGCCTACAAAGGTTGTGTTTTTCAACACTCCCAAGGTGAAACGACAAAATCAATTTAGTGTTGTCAGTGAAAAGAGCCTGAGAAATTCATATAAAGTTGCTTTTACTCTTGCATTGTTTTCTGGTTCACATTTCTAATTCAAGATTATGCAGGTAATTAGTTACAACTGTGATTGAGCCTATACATAAATGGGGATGTATATTTTTGTTGGAGAAATAAAAAGGAAGTGCAGGACCTTAGTTAATAGTGAGCAATCATGTATCTCCTTTGGGGTCAATTAGCATGTAAATTGTTTATCTAAGTCTTCTGATTCCCACCTGGGATTTGGCTATACTCAAGGATCCGACAGAAAATAGATACTCAATAAATTTGAATCAAGGGAGGTTTTAATTACCCCTGTTGGTCTCATATTATGGTCTCACGTTTCATGGTAGTTTTGCAGTCCCTGACATAGGTAAAATGGTTCGTACTCTAGATCACCCTTACAACTAACTAGACCTACCATTATATGTCAGTGACTGGTATTGAGAGATGAAAGTAAACTCAAGAAATATAGAGCGTCCACTATCAGTTGGCTCTGCTGCTGTTACAGAGAGGTCATGTGACCCTTTCAAGGAGGAATTTTTTTAATGCTCATTTCTGCCCCAAAGGTAAAATGTGCAGCCATCATTTAGGGAAAACATAATGTGAATAAATGGTGTGTCTTAAAGGCAAATGTTCCCCTGAGGCTGCGCATCTCTGAAAAGATAGAAGTCAGTAGTAAAATATGACATATTCACATTTTTACTTTCAACTTTTCAGGAGCAGGTGCTGCAGAGAGCAAGATGGAGCTGCATTTCAACCAATGGTGGTTTCAACCTGTGCTGACTGTAATTTTTATTCATAGGTTTGAAGACATACCTGATAGCGGGTCAGAGAGCGAAGGAGTCTCGTTGCAGCTGTACAGAGGCCTTGCTTTCTGGCTTTGAGGTCATTGACGGCTCACAGGTGTCCTCAGGTCCTAGGGGACAGGGGACAGCATCACCAGGGAGTGTCAGTGACTTGGCGCAGACTGTCAAAACCTTTGATAACCTTAAGGTTAGTTTTTTTTTCCTACTTCTAAAATTGTATGTTAATCTACAGTGCAACAAGTGAAATAATAAACAGCTTTTGGGTCAGTTGCAGATGACTTGGAATGCCGTTCAGTTTGGTTTTGTGATTTTCTCATGTAGTATAAAAGAAGCAGTATTTTGCATTTAAAAAAAAAACACTCAGTTTTTAATTTTTTTTTTCTTTATTGATTTTAGAGAGAGAGGAAGTGAGAGGGAGAGAGAAATAGAAACATCGATGAGAGAGGACATTGATTGGCCGCCTCCTGCATGCCCCTCACTGGGGATTTGGCCCACAACCTGGGCATGTGCCCTGACCGGGAATCGAACCTCTTGGTGCATGGGTTGACGCTCAACCACTGAGCCATCATTTTTATATTCTACACCTCCATTTTCTTTCTACACTGCATAAAAATGCTTGTCACCTTATTTTCTTTTTTGCTGCTATGATACCTTTTGCGATTTCTAAAAGCTAATGATAAATGATAGTAAAGGTAATTCTCCTCACGTTTGCTGGAGAGCTAGTTGGTCTCTTATTTCAGAGACCACTTTCTCAAGTATGTCTATGTCTCCTGAAACACAGTGTTTTATAATTATTTTAAATTGCGTTGGTGTGGGTGAACCTCATAACGTAGCTCAGTGAAGGAGTGCAGGCTTGCCAACATTATAGTATTTCATTATCAGAACAGAGATGTCCTGGTGGCTGTCGAGAGTATCCATTTCTGTCTTCTGTCATAGTGAACTACTAGGAAATTAATGTGATGGACCTGGGCACATGAAATCAGTCTAATTTATGAGCTGGTCCTCAGTTTTCACATTTGATTTATTAGTTCCCTCACTTGTACCTCTTGTGTATTATTACAGTTTAAATATTTGCCATTTCCATTTTTTTTTTTTAAAGAGAGAGATAGTTAAAACATAATATCTATTTCACCGTTTTGTATTCTCAAATATTTACCTCAAAGATGTACTGGTCAGGGTGATGGCCTGTTGTTATAGCTTTAATTCAGTTTATTCCTTCTTATCATTCATTAACAGATTTAAAAACTAGCTATGTTGGTGTTTAAGATTCACAGGTATCATAATGTGACAGTCAGCTGGGGTATCCAGATTATTTCACTGTGTCAGAATCCATAGGACCTAGCACCAGTTACTTTGTGTAATTATTGCATTCAGGTTTATTGACATGTATCATTTCATTGTGTGCTTTGTTAACTTAGTGCAGGGTTACTCAGCCTCGACACTATCAACATTTTGGGCCAGATAATTGTGATGTCCTGTGCACTGTGAGATGTTGAACAGCATCCCTGGTTTCTACCCACTAGAGGCCAGGAGCTTCCCGTCCTCCCATTGTGACAACCAAGACTGTCTCTAGCCATTTCCCAATGTCCCCTGAGGGAGTGGAGGGTAAAATCACCCCAGGTTTAGAACCAGCGAGGTAGGTATTAGATCTTCTCTTCCCCATACTCTCTGGCACATGCATGACATGACAGCTAATGTATCTGAAACTTCCTTGATGCCTGTGCACTTTTGAGACAGCCTCTTTGCCGGGCTGATGTTTTACAGTAGTCAGAAAGGAGCTCTCAGTGCATTGACTGTCACTGAGCATGGCAGGAAAGAATCATGTCAGGGAGGAACACAAAAATGTGGCTTTCCAAGTGTGGTTTCATTATCTGGGGAGAAACCATTTCCTCCAGGCTTCAAACTGAGCTGTATTTAAGTAGAAAAATAGAGCTCAAAGCCAAAAATAAATGATTTGTCGGTTTGCTGCTATTCTAGATTTTGGGTATGTGAGTATCCATTAGGGAGTGCAGTTGCTGACTTCACTTTTTTTTAAAAAATCTGGATGGACAGAAACTATTCAGCATATTCTGTTACCTTGTATAAATTTTCCAAATAATCATTGAAAGTTTTCTGAAAATCTTGTGATCTATTAAGTTGACTGTGTTTACCAAAATGAATTTGAGCAAAAAGATCTTTGTGCCCCTTCCAGAGAGGATAGATGAATTGAATCTTGAAGTATAATTTCTGGGATATTGTGATGGTGTTGGAGGGGCTCTTAGGACGTCTGAGACTAGGGCTGTTCCAGAAAGTTAGAATGACAGTTGGAGTGGAAGGTGCAGGAAGAGATAGAAGACTTGGTCTCCTCTCCAGGCTTCACTTTGGAAAGTCCTTGCCACACTCTTGCCTTCTCTGCTTCTGGTGCCTGTGGTGAGAATCAGGTGAGAGCAGACATCTGTGAGCATTTTATAAATTATAAGCACCAGGTAACTGAGTGAATCGTCATGAGCTATCAGCCTAAACTTGAAAGGCAGAAAACTGAGGTCTGCTTTATAGATTATAATCTAGCATATGAGGTCTTCCCTCAAGTAATAGTTTTTGAACAATGGAAATGTAAAATACCAGTTGCTTGCTCATCCATTTTGGGGGAAGGTTTCCCTCTAAACTTGTCAGTGCCTCATATGTGTGTCATTGCTTGTTGCCTTATGTTGTGTGCACTACAGTTAGCTTTTCTCATTATCTGGAATCAGAAACTAGCTCCTCCTAATCCTTTACCAGGGTCTTGACTCTTCCTATCAACAGGCTTTAATCTCCTTTGTTGCTGCTTTCACCTCATCCAGCCAGAGTTAGCTCCCATGTAGATTGTTACAGACCCCATATTTCTCTCCTACCCTGGTGTAAGGCAGTGTTTCTCACTGTGTTCTCTTGAGCACTACTTCTTTGGATGGAAATAGGTTTCAAGTATAGAAAAGGGATTCTGTGGTCAGGTAAATTTGGGAAGTTCTAGGACAAACAACACAGCAAAGGTTGTATGTGGTTTGCAGCATTCTCAGGACTCTTTGACCACATATTTCTTTTTTCAAGCTGGACTTTTGGGGGGAATTCTTGTCTAGTGGAAGGAGTTTTATGCAAGAACCAAGAAATTAGAGAAAAGGTGTTCAGTAGATATTCATCAAATGAATACATGCATATTTTGGCCTTGCTGCTCCTCTTGCCTGCAGTACTCATTGCTTCCCTTTTCCCTAAACACTCCACTTTTCATCTCACAGTTCACCTTTATTACAATTTCCTATGACTCCTCTACCTAATAATGCTATGACATTATAGCTATAACATATACAATGTTCAATATTTGCCTTATGTTTCTTATTTACCTTCCTGTGAGCTCTTTGAATGCAGGCTTGTTTTTCCCCGTGTCCAGCATAGTGCCTGGCATATAGTAGATATAACTTTCTGTTGCCTTAAATTTTTAATTCTTAAATGACACACAGGAAGATAGAACTCTGCAGAGGTAGCCTAAAAAGGACTGAACTGACAAGCCTGAGCAGCATTAAATAGAACCAAGGTGTGATGTCTAGGAAGCATTTGTTTTCCCTCCTGGCACACGTGTCCTATGTGTCTGTAAGTTGTTTCTCAATTCATAGCTGGAGAATTCTTACCTAATATTTCATAAAATAGTCTGACTGCTATGATGACCTACCAAGAAACTGTAGTTATGTCAAATGACAAAGGCTTTTGTCCTGAGGTCATAGTTCAAAGAGAACCCTCCTACACTCAAGCATTGGCTTCTTGAGTGACTGACAGTGAAAGTTTTTCATCATTTATGACATTGCACAATGGGGAGCTGTGGGGTACACTGCTATCACCATGGCACTCAGCCCTCTGAGCCTGAGCTTCCAAAGATAGTCCTTGGGTTTGGGATAGGGTAAGGAGGAGTCAAGAAGGGAGCCCAGGCCCTGGTCGGAGTGGCTCACTTGGTTGGGCATCATCCCGTGCACTGAAATGTTGCTGGCTCAATTCCTGGTCAGAGTATATGCCCAGGTTACCAGCTCAATTCTCAATGGGGGAGGAGGTGTAGGAGGCAGCCAACTGATATTCACCCTCACATCAGTGTTTCCCTCTCTTTTTTTCTCTCCCCTCTCCCTCTCTGCTCATCTCTCTAAAAAATAAATCAATAAGAATATTAAAAAAAAAAAAAAAAGGGGGAACCCAGGAAGGAGACAAGAGTTCTTCATGTCGCAGTCACAGAAGGTAGCGTTAGTACCATGGGAAGGGCCAGAACTCAAAATTGAGGATTGTCCTCAAAACCTTGACTTTGGGACTGCAAGCAGGTCATTTACCTTCTCTAAATCATAGTGAAATGGTGATGACAAGGCAGTCTCTCAGGGTTGTTGTGAAGATTAACTTAAGTAATGCTCATGAATACTAGGTCTGTAGTAGATAGTCAGTTAACACCAGGACATGCCGTTCATTCACTCTGGGTGGAGATGTGACGACAGTAGGAGTAAAGAAGTATAGGAGGAGATGTAGGTACTGTGTTGCTTTGCCCACAATGAGTCATTGACTTCTTGGGAAGATCTTGCTTTCTCGGCTTGTTCTGACTCAAGGAAGGTTTTTCTGTTATTGCCCTTGGTCATTGCTGTAGGGGATGTAACCACATGACAAATGTATAATTGGAGTATGGGCACATGGTCTGTTTAATGTGACCTCAGCTCTGCAGTAGAGGCTTGCTTCTCACCAGTCATGAAGCTGTGGGTGATAGATGGAAACTATACACGCCAATAACAATAGCTGCTCTAATGTCTTCCTAAAGAACCAAAAAGTGAAAACCAAAGATGTGGGCAGTTTCTTTTTTATCACATCAGTCCTAATCGGTAAACCATGTGAGCTGTGACAGCATCTTAATTCATCTCTGAAAGACCTCACTGGAAATGCACTTGCTTGGCATCATTGTGAGTTTACCTTAATCTAGTATTCAGAACCCCAGGGCTGTGTGCTGATGAGGTGAATGTTTCTACATGTTTACAGTCAATAATGAGGCTGATGGTGTGGATTTGTCCACATAGGGTAATTCAGAGAGGACCTGTCCTATTTTCAAAAGGGTTGTACTTTTCCCAGGGACCATCCTTATGTGACAGTCGCCATGATTTTGTTAATGACTCTAAGTAAATGATCACTTCTTTTATCTCCTTTTTACTTGTCTTATTG